AGAGTGTGCGATTAGGGAAACAGCGCAGGCATCAAGAAAACCAAATCACGACGTCGGAGGTATGTGCCCCCTGCCCCCTGTGAAAATCCTCGGGCACCACCTGCCTGATGTCTGGCACAACCACGGCGACTTGCCTGGTCCCGCTGCCCAGCCAGATCGGCACGGCCTCGCCGGGGCCGAGACGATAAGAAGGAGCATGGGATCGGATTAGGTTGGGGAGCTCCTGAAAACCTGTGGATCAACAGCCGATGCTGACCGTGCAACTGTCAAATCACCTGCTACACGATTGCGTGGGAAGAGCACGACGACGACGACGACGACGACGACGACGACGACGACGACGAGGAAGGCGGCGGCGGCGGCAGCGGCGGCGGCACCGGCCACGGCCACGGCCACGACCGTAGCGACGAAGGCGGCGAAGGCGAAGGCAACGGCGGCGGCGGCGACGGGGGACCAGGCCCCCCCCGCACGCGAGCGCTGCGGGCCAGCGGGACCCGCCGGGGGGAATGCGGGCCGCCTTCGCCGGCGGGGCGTCGCGAGCGGTGCCCTGCGGCGTCTTGCTGCCGCCTGCGGGGTGTCCCGCGCGCTCCGCGCGCCGCAGGATGCGCAGCAAGTGACGAGCGCGGCAACAAGGTGACGCTCGGTCACCCGACGTCGCACACCGCGCCCCACGATGCGCGACGCGCACTCCTCTTCGCCCCCTCGCGCCCTCGCGCCGCTCCCTTGGAGAGGGGCAATCGCTCTGGAGGAGTAGGAGGAGGAGGAGGAGGAGGAGGAGGAGGAGGAGGAGAGAGGAGAGGAGAGGAGGAGGGGAGAGGAGGAGGAGGAGGAGGAGGAAAAAGAGGAGGAGGGAGGAGGAGGAGGAGGAGGAGGAGAGAGGAGAGAGGAGGAGGATAGAGGAGGAGGAGGAGGAGAAGAGAGGAGGAGAAGGCGGAGTAGGTATAAGAGTAGAGGAGGAGGAGAAGGAGGACGGTAGAAGTAGGAGTAGGATAGGAAGGAAGTAGAGAGGGAGTAGGAGTAGGAGTAGGAGTAGAGTAGGGAGTAGGAGTAGTGGTGGAATTGTAGGAGTAGGATAGGGAGTAGGGAGGAGTAGGGAGTAGAGTAGGAGTAGGTGTAGGATGTAGGGAGTAGGAGTAGAGTAGGAGTAGGAGTAGGAGTAGGAGACCCCCTAGGAGTAGGGGGAGGAGGAGGAGGAGAGGCGGAGGAGGAGAGGAGAGAGGCGATAGGAGGAGGAAGGAGGGGAGGATGGGGAGGGGAGAGGAGGAGGAGAGAGGAGGAGGAAGGAGAGAGGAGGAGGAGGAGAGAGGAGGAGGAGGAGGAGGAGGAGGAGGAGGAGGAGGAGGAGGAGCAGGGAGGAGAGAGGAGGAGGAGAAGGAGGAGGAGGAGGAGGAGGAGGAGGAGAGATGAGGAGGAGGAGCGCCCCCGCGGGTGGCATTGGAGACGCCGGCCCCCTCGCGCGCGCGGGGGCCCAGCCCTCGAGGTGCGGTGGTCGACGGGCCGAGGGCCGAAGGGCCCGGGCGCTGCCGGTGCATCACGGGTCCTTGTCGTTGGGCCTCGTGGGGCGCCCTGGCTGGGACGCACAGGGACGCACAGGGGCGCCCTCGTTTGGGACGCACAGGGACCACTATGTCCTCTTGGATAGAGGGCCTGGAGATCCACACCCGACGACGCAACCGTTTAGGAAACGCACCCGACGAAGGAATCGAACAAGAAAGCGCTGTTTGGTAAACGCACGTGGCCGTTTAGTAAACGCCGAGTATGGGGGTCGGAGGGGATTAGTCCTCGTTGATTGGAGGCGCGCGTCCGTCCCGCACATCTAGTATACCTATCTTGCAGTGTATCGTTTCCCGAGCGGTTGAGTATCGTTTCACCGATCCCCATCCCCAGCGGCGTGACATGGGCCCCACTGGCCGATTTACCCCCCTAGATGGGGATATGGGTCGTTCCCTTCGGGTTTCGAGGGGTGTATCCCCAACTGGGGGGGTAATTTGATGGGGATCGCGAAGGGGATGGGGATGGGGATGGGGGTCGGTTAAACAGTACTGACTCGTGGCCCTGGCTGGACACGCCTCGGAAGCCTGGCCAGAACGCGTTGGGACGCACAGGGACATACTAATACTATATGTCCTCCCTGGAGGCACGCGTCCGTCCCGAACATAAAGTATACCCATCTTGCAGTGTATCGTTTCTCGAGCGGTGTGACCAGAAAGCGCCCACCACGACGCATATACTATAAGATTTCTTGGTACGCGCGTCGCCCCTGAGGGGGCGACGCACAAATAGCAGAAGTATGTTGGGGTGACGCCGACTCGTAGTCCTGGCTGAACACGCCTCGGGAGCCTGGTCAGAACTCGTCTCGTCGTCGCTGCCAGTCGCCGGATGAAACTGCCTCACATCTAACGGGCTCAAAAAAACCGAGCTGGATGTGTCTTTACATTCGGTATCTCCTCCTCCTCCTCCTCCTCCTCCTCCTCCTCCTCCTCCTACTCCTCCTCAGCAGCAGCAGCATCAGCATCAGCATCAGCATCAGCATCAGCATCATCATCATCATCATCATCATCATCATCATCATCATCATCATCAGCATCATCATCATAATCGCCATCATCAGCATCATCATCATCATCATCATCATCATCATCATCATAATCAGCATCATCATCAGCAGCAGCATCATCGCAGTATCGTCAGCATCATCATCATCATCATCATCATCATCCTCACCAACATCATAATCATCATCATCAGCATCAGCATCTTCATCATCGACATCATCAACATCAGCAGCAGCATCATCATCGTCATCATCATCATCACCATCATCATCGACATCATCATCATCAGCATCATCTAGTATCATCATCAGCATCAGCATCATCTATAGTATCATCATCAGCAGCAGCATCATCATATTCGTCTTCTTTATCATCAACATCCTTCTCCCACCTCCATGTTGGCGAGGTTCACTTCAGGCCCTGGGGGTCGACCCACTCATGGTACGACATAAGCTCCACCAAGACTAGAAACAAAATCAAAACCCTGCTGAACGTGTTAACAGCCTTCTCAAAAATCTTCTCCACGACTTGAGCTGCCGCCTATCACTGATGGACCGCCTGCAGCCACGCACGTACGGGTAACAGTTTAACCGTGTACGCGGGATCCAGATCTAGCGGGTCGTGCAAGTGAAAATGAAGTGCTCTGGATCTGCTTTTGGCCTTGCCGAAAAAGGCGAAGGCCACCATTGCTCCGAGGTTCACAAGTTCCCCATCCACCATACCACCACACCAACCACAACCATAACCAATTCCTCGTCTTTCTCCTCCTACTCCTCCTCCTACTCGTCCTTCTCCACCTCCACCTCCTCCTCCTCCTCCTCCTCCTCATCATCATCATCGTCAGCAGCAGCATCATGGTCGTCGTCATCATCATCATCATCATCATCATCATCATCATCATCATCATCATCATCATAATCATCATCATCATCATCAGCATCATCATCATCAGCAGCAGCACCAGCACCAGCACCAGCATCAGCAGCAGCATCGTCATCGTCACCACCAACATCATCATCATCATCATCATCATCATCATCATCATCACACATCACATCATCATCGTCATCGTCATCAGCATCATCATCATCATCATCATCATCAGCATCAGCATCATCATCATCATCGTCATCATCGTCAGCAGCAGCATCATCATCACAGCATCATCAGCATCATCGTCATCATCAGCAGCATCAGCATCGGCATCATCATCAGCATCGTCATCCGCAGCAGCAGAAGCATCCTCATCCTCGTCCTCATAAGAATCCCCCTCATCCTCCTCGTCATCATCATCAGCATCATCCTCATCATCATCATCACCAAAAACATCAACATCATCAAAACAACATACATTCTCACCGTGCATCATCATCATCATCAGCATCATCAGCATCAGCTATCAGCATCAGCAATCACAATCATATCAGCAATCATCAGTCTCATCATCATCATCATCATCATCATCATCATCATCATCATCATCATCATCATCATCATCATCATCATCATCATCATCATCATCATCATCATCATCATCATCATCATCATCATCATCATCATCATCATTATCGTCATCAGCATCATCATCATCATCATCGTCAGCATCATCATCGTCATCAGCAATCGGCATCATAATCAGCATCCTCAGCAGCATCGTCATCATCATAATCATCATCATCAGCATCATCGTCGTTACAAGCATCAGCATCATACTCATCCTCGTCATCATCATGAGCACCAGCATCAGCATCAGCATCAGCGTCATCCTCAGCATCAGCATCATCATCATCGTCATCATCAACGCCATCAGTATCCTCATCATCCTCATCGTCGTCATCATCAACATCGTCATCATCGTCATAATCAGCATCATCATCGTCAGCATCATACACCTCCTCCTCCACCTCCTCCACCTCCTCCTCCTCATCATCGTCATCAGCATCAGCATCAGCATCAGCATCACCACCAACATCGTCATCATCATCAGCAGCATCGGCACCATCAGCATCATCATCATCATCGTCCCCATCAGCATCGTCATCCTCCTCCTCATCGTCATCGTCATCATCATCATCATCATCATCATCATCATCCTCATCATCATCATCATCATCATCATCATCATCATCATCATCGTCGTCGTCGTCATCAGCACCGTCATCAGCTGCGTACTAATAGCATGAATACTTAAAACAATAACAATAATCACAACAATAATCATCATCATCATCATTATCATCAGCATCATCATCATCAGCCTCGTCATCATCAGCAGCAGAATTATCATCCTTACCATCGCCATCACCATCATCATCATCATCATCATCATCATCATCACCATCATCATCATCAGCGGCAGCAGCAGCAGCGTCGTCATCATCATCATCATCATCAGCATCATCCTCATCATCAGCATCCCCTCCCGCTCCTCCTTCTCCTCCCCCT